AGAGAGAGAGAGAGAGAGAGAGAGAGAGAGAGAGAGAGAGAGAGGGAGAGAAAGAAAGAAAGAAAAGCAAAGTTTTCTTTCTTTTCAAGATGTATTCTGCATCGACAGTTTCATAAACACCAGCAGTCTTTATTGAACTATTCATATTTTGTGCAAATGTGAATGTAACCTTAATTACATTGTTAAATTCAACAAGAAGGCAGACAAAGTACAAAAAAGATGGAAAAGTAAAATGGGTCCTAATCACAGGATGTGGTGATGTAGTTATACGCCAAGAAAGGGGGGGGGGGAATGTATATAAAGGAAAAATTCCATTATACACGCTTCTAGGTTGCAGTTAGGTGGAGGTTGCTCTTCTCTGGGTTGGTGTTAAGCAAACACTCACTGTTTAACAATAGTTTGGAAGACTATTCATGTCAATGCTGAATTGAGCCAGTTACTAAAGTTGCTGGGACAAAACCCATTTTTTAGGTCATGAGGTAAAAGGCATGCTTCAGTTGCCAAACACATTTTTATTAGATGCTGGTGTCCTGTGTACACAATAAGACACATTTCGTACCACTTGAAAGAGGAAAAAGGAAAAGGTTTTAAAAAATCTGAAAAATAAAGATGATGACAGTTTTATCATTAAAGTCCTAAGCACACGAAATGAAAACAGGTTGTAGTCATTTCTTCTGGCCAGAAAATGAAAAGCATGACTTCTTCTTGGGAACAAAATATGAAAAGTGTAACATTTTGAAGCACCACAGAATCAACAGATAAAAGTACTCCTCCCATCCACACAAAGACAGACTAGCCTTTAAGAAGGATCACACCACAACTAAATTAAACCAAAACCACTCCAAGACAACAAAAATCCATAAAATTTATTGAGGAAAACTAAGAAAAATGGATGAACCAATTGGCAGAGCAGTTTACAATCACATGAGCACATTGAAAATCTTACAACCCGCAAAGCCCTCTACAGAAGAGAACAAACAAACAATTTCTGCAACTGAACACAGCATCAACCTCTAAACTACCGCTTGAAGAGAATCAACCCAGAAAAATCCCCAATGTACGCTTTACTTTGTGGCCATGTTAATGAAACAGTCCAACATCTACTCTTCAAACTTCCCAAATTACAGGATCTGTGACTGCAACTTTTTCCACCAGCGGATAGTTAGAGTAAGAGAACGTTAGGAGTGCGCCATTGGCCAATATTTATAGTAACAGCCATCTTGTTGGACCCATTCTTTAACATACAATGAGCATTATCATTTTATAACACTTTGCTAAAATGAAAAAAAAAAGCTATTTTTTTTACTCCACATTTTTTTTCCAGATCAGACAGTGAGACAATAGGTCTGGAATTTCTTTTGTCAGAATGAAGAACACTATTTTATGACACAAACAAGATGGTTGTTACTATTTAAAATATTGGCCAATGGCGAACTCCCAACGTTTGCTCTATCCACTTGTACTTTGCTGCTTGGCAGAAGCTTGAAAGCTAAGCAGAAGAATAACTAATTTCTATATTGTGTGCAAGTTTTTTTGTGCACACTAGCTTTTTCACAAGAAGTCTGGTTGACTTATATATTCTCTGCTCCAGATTGCAATTTATATTATTTATAACATGCAGTGCATACGACATTTATTATAAAACTGACAAACACTGGGCACAATTTTCCACAGATCACTGTCTACACAAACCTAGACACTTGCACTTTGAGGACAAAAACTCAGTCAAAGAAAAAATCTGACTTCATCGTCGTAAGTCACACTTAAGTAAATTATTATCATTTCCACTTCACATTTTAATCCTGCCTCTCCTAAACTAGGAATGGAAATGAAGAACCTGGCACATGATATCGTGCACACTCCCACACATCACTAAGTGCAGGTTATCAGATCCAAAGGCCTTCTATCAGATCACCTTGAAACCTTCAGATAAAAGGGTTGCAGAGGCAGAGTGCAGATAATACACACATTCAATTTAAATTATTTATTTTTTAAAGCACGTTTATTTGAGACAAAGACTCTGGATTGGTTGTACCCTCAAACTGGAATTCAAATCTAGATTTACACCATAATCATAAGGCTGTCGTTATTCTCACCTGGGGTGAAAATAAAATCCATTTTATTCTCACCTGGGGTCAGAATATTATAATATTTTTATTCTCACCCTGGGTGAGAAAAAAATGAATATTATTGTCACCCAGTCTGAGAATGCAATAGCAATTGATTTTTATTCTTAGGCCTACCTGGCTGTTGAGAATGGGTAGGCCTACATGCAGGCTTAAAGGACAGTAGAAAATAATTTGTGCACGTAAGAGTGACCGTTCATTACCTGCCCCAGAGCGCTGGCTGATTTTTCTATGCTCCCGTGGGGATTGTTATTGTTTAATTTTTTGTTAAATCTTGAAAGCATGCACGCATCTTCACCAAAACCCTAGACAAGTGTATTTCTAAATTCAGAAAGGAATTCACTTACCTGAGTAGAATGTTTAAAAAAAATAGCCTTAAAACCCCTCCCCACCCCCCACCCCGAGTATATATGAGTATTTATGTATCAGTGTATTGCAAAACTGAAAGCTGTAAAATGAAATAATGTTAATAGTTTGTCATTGTAATCTTAGAATTGGCATTTGTTTACCACACAAAAAACGTTTAATTGTTATCCCTAACAGAACCCACAATTATTTTTAAGGACCTTAGGCTTATTTTTTTTCTTAATTTTGATAGGTAAAAAAAAAAAGGGGTATTTTTTTTACTAATACACCCGTCTCATTTACACGTCTGATACACTTTTTTCCTAGTAGTATTTTGCATGCTGAACACGAATATGGCCTTCATTTTTGCCGCAAATCAATAGTTACTGAGCTATTGATGTTTGAAAACAGAACTAGGACCAGTGGCGTAGTAATATTTGACTTATTTTTAACAACATGCATGGGGGAATCTAAAATAGAAACTGGAGGGTTTCAGGGGGCATACCCCCCTGAATTTCACAATGACTTGACGTTTTGGCAATTAGGATTGATATTTACATTAAAACAATTGATTTTCAAGGGTTTTAGTGGCCACACGTGTGTTCTGCAGCAAAAAGTATGGCAGTTTAGCCTTCATCAGTGTTGTGTGTGGGTGTAAAAGTAAAAATTTACCAAAAAACCATTCAAGAGTAAAATTTTCCATTATAGAACCAATAAATAGTAACAAAAGGTGACGCTATTTGCTCAAAAGAAAAGGTTTTCCCCCAAATTGACAAAACAATAGTCGCCTCCCGCGCTTGAGAGCTGGTCTGTGCCGTTGGCGATCTTAGTCGCCTCACACGCTCAGTGGAGTGAGAGAGGGAGGCGAGTTTTGTTGCCTGGAGTGCTCAGTGACAGGGATCCTATGAAACTATGATGTCCGAAACGAAAAAACCGGGTGAGAATAGTAGGCTGTCGTTATTCTCACCCGGGGTGAGAATAATATCCAGTTTTTCCTCACCCCTGGTGAGAATAATCACTCCGTAATCATAATCTTCCTAACAAATTATTACACTTGGACTTGGTGACAAGATCCAAACCCAAACTAGTCTATTAGACCCTTCCATCCATATCCACTCCCTGCACTTGCACCAGACCCCGTATAGATCTAGTAACATTATTAATTGCAAGGGCATTATATTTCAAAATTTAGTAGGCATTAAAAACATCGCCTTTTGAAATGTTTCCATTGATACTTTCTTAAGCCTTCACGATGAAATCTAGATCTAGATTCTAGTCACCTAGGTTGTCAAACTGTTTTACACACACCAAAAAGCCCCTACTAAGCAAGTGCCTTAAAACTCTTATCCTGCGTCTGTGCCCAGATGCGTATATATCTTTCAGCAACCGATTACGTCGGACGTGCCGGGCAGGCCGCCGGGGTCACTCAGTGTGTACTATTGGTGTACAGCGCACGCGCGCCGGGAAACGTGTTTTCGCCATGAATACCGCGGGAGTGTGTTAACCGATGATGAAAATAACGCTCTATCTTTCATAGCTTTCTATTTATAAAATGTTACAAACACATAACCCCCTTCTCACTAGCTGATAAGACATTACGAGTAGTTACGCCCATTTGAATAACCTTTCTGGATGCTCTTGTTGTTATGAATGACCTGAGGTTCGAAAGGGGATAATTTAGGTCAATTTCCGAATGTTTTACACTCAAATTGTTCTTTGTGCCTGCCCAAAGGTATTCAAAACTATCAAACAAGCTTATTTTTTATCAGGTAGTATCATTTCATACAAAATCTTGAAGCTCATTTGAAAGATTTTGTATAGAAAAATGGAAGTCTTGTTTCCTGACTCCTTTCGAGCTCCTCATGTCTAAGTGGGTCAATTTCTTCTATAATTTCATTGGACGAACATCTAGAGCTACCAACTTGGCATGTTTTGAATGAGACGTGTATGCCTCGATTATGAACCAACGCAGGCGGTTCTAGAAGAAGGCCACAAACGCACACAAACTCAAGCAGACTGATGCACACACTCTTGACCTGCGTGAACGGGGATCCGACTCGGGACCCCAATGACACGTAAGAGGATGCGCGCTGCGCGTGCGCTGAGCCAGGGGCTACACTGATTCGGGACCAGAACGTAGGCGAGGTGCCAAAATAGGGCGACATAAACCCAGCTCCCGCAGGATGAGGGTTAACTCCAACCAGGAACTTCATCAAGACTTTTCAAGTTCAAGCTCAAGGCAAAGTTCCAAGTTTCATTTTCAGCAATTCTGAAGCAAAAGCTGTTGTACGACTGTTCATACAAACTATCACCAATTATGTAAACCCTTACATCAGTGTAAAATTATTTAAATAATACCTAGCCTCTCGGTGGGCCCTCATGCCATGGAGCTATGCATGTACTCTATATCATGACTAAGCTAAGATTGCTAAGACAAGAAGACATCATCTGTTAGTGTTACTGCCTCTGTTTACCAGACCTTCGGCAATCAGAGAAGATAAAATGCGCAGTCAAAGCCAGTCATCTTGATACGACCCAGGGACATGAACATATGGTCAGACTTCATTTTCTCTCACCTAAATATGACTCTTTAAGGCATGGGCGCAACTGCTACTCCACTTGATTCCTTGCCGTGTGTTATGTTGTTGTTGACATTGTTTCAGTCACCTGTTTCGGAACCTTTTTGTCGTGATGATGTCACGCTGAGTTCCCACGAGAAGGCGCGATAACGTGAGAGGTCATTGCTCTGAAGCACACAAAACCGACATTTACCGCAAATCAGTGAAATCACACGTTTCCATTTTCCATTAGTTCAGAACTCTCTCCTCCCCCCCCCCCCTCTCTCTCTCTCTCTCTCTCTCTCTCTCTCTCTCTCTCTCTCTCTCTCCCCCCCTCTCTCTCTCTCTCTTTATATTTTTATTTAGCGAGAAAAGCAGGAACCACCAAGTAGATCTAGACCTATTTACAGCTTGTGGCACTAGGCCATTTCGTGCAAAAGGGCATGTTATTGACCGTGACCATGAAAGTAATGATACGGAGAGGCGAGTAGGCCGTCGCACTGAAGTAGAAGGAGCAAACAACCCGAGAAAACAAATGAAGGTAGAATCTATACAAATTCTGCGTAATGCACAACCGTTTCGTTTGTTCCCGCCACTCCCTTCATTGTTTTGCATCATGTAGCAGCCAACATGCACATTGCACGTGTAGCCTAATTATATTAGAGTGTAAAAAGTTTTCATAAATTTGCAGCCGCTAAAGCGGGGGACGGAACAAAATTAGATTATGTTACATGTAGGCCTGTGCCCAGAATGCCCCCCACCCCCCCAAAAAAAAACAACCAAAACGTACTGTATAAATTACAACGTCGGTGAAAGGGGTGGCCTATTAATGTGCTTTTGGAATCATTTTACGGTTTAGTTGTATGTTTTTTCTAGGCAACACGGATCAGTAAACTAATTCTAATGTGGTACAAAATCTCGCCAAAGATTATTGAGTATTTTTCTTTTTCGGGCTTCCCCCGAACCCGCAACTTCACGATTACTAGTCCGGAAGCCTAACCACTATACTACCAAGGGGAACCAATGATGATACATACCGTTATGTATCATCGTTGGAGGAATTTAGCTTTACTTTAAAGGCAAGAACGAGAGAAAGAGA